TGAACCCACGGGTTCATAGGATGCGAACTCATGTTTGGGAGTACACATGAGTTGGTGCTAAATTATAAATTCTTGTTTAATTTTGTTTCAGTTGTTACTTTGTTTTATTTGTTTGTAGTGTAGATAAAGTAAAATAGAACCTGAAGAAAAGTAAAGTAAAACTCGAAACAAAATTAAACTAGAATTTGAGTAAGATAGTTTTGAATAGGGATCCTAAATCTTAATATTTTTCTTCTCAAATCATCCTCTACGATTTCCTCCATTCCTTTTGTTTGGATCACAATCAAGGAGAAAGCCTCATGCTTGAAATGGAGTGAGTTAGCGATCTTGTCCTCAAAGGGAGATATTCATCAATCACTAGAGCCTTTGAGGTTTTTCTTGGTCAGTGCAAAACCTTATACCCAATTGGTTAACATTATAACACTGAAACTTGTGTACAAAAGGCCTTGGTTGGTTGCGTATAATTGTACTACATGTGGGAGCTGTTCAGAGGATCGGTTCCTAGGTCGAACGGTCCAATTGTTTGGACTGAATGGATTGTCTGTTCTGACAAAAAACAAAAAATAAAAAATGGCTAAAAACCATTGTTTAGGTCGATGGTTCAATAGTTCGATTGCTTAGGTCAGCAGTCCATTTACTAAATCAATGGTTTTTTGCCAAAAAGCTGTTTTGGGGTGAAACAGAACCAATTAGGTGACCAATTCCCAGTTTTTCCAATTTGACACCCCGGTCCTGTTTGGTTCATTGACATATCAGATTGGGATTGTATTACTCTTCCATCAGGTTGGGATTGGTTTTGCATTGAGCCAATTATATGCCAAATCCAATCCCTTGACCACCCTACTACTGTATTTGTTAAGATTGGATTAGCAAATTTGGGTTTTGACATTAGTTTGATTCTAGGCCAAGGTTCATGTTTAGGATTGGTCTTGGGCTAGCCTTTAACCCATGTTTTATTAGAGAGGGTCGAAAAGGAGTTTAAAAATAAATAGAAAAAAATGAGAATTAATGGGAGAGAATAGATGTTACAAACATTAACTATTGAAGTAAGAGAGTGAGAGACAGATTAAGAGAGTAGTACTAAGATGGGTGAACTCTTGAGAAGTCCTCCTGTTGTTGAATCACTCCAACTTCAATTTTCCTAGCAATGGGACATTTTTTGTTGTTTATCTGTGGAGATGATTCGTGGGGCCAAGCTACGCCCCCACCCCGGGTCTTGTATAACTCCTTCTAGTTTTTACAAATAAAAAAAAATTAAGAGGGTTTTTATGAATATACATTTTTGTATCTTAAGATTTATAAGATTTTATAAAAAGAGATTAAGATGCTTAATTTAAAATTTTATTTTTCATTTTAGTAAATTCTCTATTTTTAATTTTTCACATACGCATATAATTAAGCAGAGAAAGGGTGACAAGATTTTTCACATGTGTAACCTATTTTAATAGGTGGTGACAAGATTTTACTGCAATGTGTTCGAATGTATTCTGAGCATTTCTTAATGAAATTTGTTTTCTCAGGGTTGAAAACAAAAACAAAGTCAGTAGGTGTTGATTTCACCAGCATCAAAGTTGACTGATCGATGATATACTAAGGTCAAGAAAAGAAGTATGGTTTCTATTCTTTATGTAAGGTTCAAACTTCAAAGTATCGATATGTGTAATATGCAAGAATTATATATCACACAATTCAAAGGGTTGAACTCATAGAAAGATTATTTTCAGGTTTCATTATTCAAATCAGAGATGGGCTACCAAAGGGTATTAATGACTGAAAATGGACTTTCCTCGTATATTTTTTATTATTTGGCCATATCGGTGGGTTCAAAAAATGATGTATGAATATGTATCAATGAATATGTATGTATATATATGAATATGTATCAATACTTTGAACTTTTAGGTGGGGATGGGAGCTTTTCTCTTTTGTTTGTTTTAAAAGATGGAAATCGAGTGCGATATTTTGCTGATGCAAAATATGTTATTGAAGCTTGCAGGTAAAACTTTAAAGAGTTGCAGGGCCTCTTTTGTGATTGGATAAACATAAATATTTTCTGTAGTTTTGTTAAGGGTTTTTTTTTTTTAGGGTTTGACTATGATGTCGGAAAGACATGATATTGGAAAAACTTACAACCGATCAATCAATATCATAAAAGCTTTTATGATTTGTCAGGTGGGTTTTTATCAAAATTCATAAGGGGTTGTGATTTGTCAAAGCCAGGTCTAATAGAAATGGACCAAATCAATACAGGATAACAAAATCATCACAATATTAGAGTATCTACAACAATGTCTCATTTAGGCCATGTTTGCAAGTGCTTATTCGAAATAAGTGCTTATTTGGGCCATTAAGCATTTATTAGTATTTGTGAAATAAGCCCAAAATAAGTGTTTATTTTAAAAATAAGGGCTTATTTTTTAAGCCCAAATTTCCAACTTTTTGTTAAGTGCTTATGCATTTATTCAAAATTTTTCTTCCAAAATTATCCCTACTTGACTTTTAAAATACCACTTATAAATTATGCCTAGTTAAAATTTATAAAAATACTTTTACAAAAAGTGTTTTTATTAAAGTGCTTTCATAATAGTACTTTTATTGTACTTTTATAAAAGTACTTTCGTAAAGTGTTTTCATAAAAAGTATTTTCGTAAAGTGCTTTCATAAAAATACTTTTGTAAAAGTTCTTTTATAAAAGTACTTTCATAAAATTACTTTCATAAGGGCAAAATAGTTACAAATGCCTATTTAAGTGCTTATTGGAGAAAAAGATTATAAAACGTGTCAAATGCAAATAAGTGCCTATTCGAATAAGCACGTATTTTAAACTTAAACACTCCCAAACATGACCTTAAAATGAATTGGAATCTGCTCCTCCCAGAATGCCTCACAGCAACATCCCACCATGTATTGGGAATATCTCCTATGAATAATAATAAACAAGAACTGGAGATGTTCTTGATGCATGACCGGATTATGCTGTAAGATTGGTGTCAGAAGCAAATGCAGACTCATTTAAAATGGGTCTATCACATAAGATAGGTCCCTGACACACTTATTAAATGTGTCATGTAAGGTGATTTGTAAGAATTCAGATTTCCTTATGAAAATGGAAATCTTTCAAATTTACCGCTGCAAGTATTGCGAGGAAAAAATCCAAACTTGGTAAATTAAAAATAAAACAAAATTTCCAGCTTAACATTTTTTATGAAGAATTTGTGTCAAATGCTTCAAAGGTTTTTCGGTTGGACCAGAGTGAACCGCTATGGTGAACCAATTCGGCTGGATTTAAACATTATGAACAAATTAAAAATAAATAGCTTGGAGCGGTTGTACAGTAAACGGATAAAGGCAGTTTGCAGCATTTTCTCATGTCTTGAGGCATCTAATAGTAATTTTCCCTTTAATAACAGTTGAAATGAATGAAGCGAATAATTTGTTGCTTTGTCCTTGTGGATAAGGAGGTTATAAATGAAGTCAAGATCAACGTTCAGAGCGTTAAAGTAACATGGTAAAAAAAAAAAAAAAACCTTTGTTTAAAATTTAATCTCAGGTAATTAAAGAAGGTTTAAAATGTAATAAAAATAAAATAAAAGGGTAAAGTGCAAGTACATTGCCTCTACTCCATAATAAATTATAGAGAAAATCTATGATGCCGAAAACGGGAATAGATATGGTAGGGGAGAGTTTTGACCAATGAAAATTCACCCATAAATTTTGATAAATAACACCTTATTGGATATCGACGTTTATGATTTCAGTTGATTGGTCAGAGAATTTTCAGATATTATATATTTTTTATATCATAATCGAATCCTAAACTTATAGAATATTTCATTAAACATTTTTTAAATCCAAAACTACTCTTTTATGCATGAGGAAGTGGAAACCATTGCCTTTCTAAAAGCTTTGAACCTGGCCCAATTTTCTCTCTTTCACTAAAATTATTCTTAAAGGTGATTTTCAATCATAGATCGCTATGTGTAAGTAGACATATTCAGGGGCCCGGCTTTGAGCTTGGTTTTACATTGTTTCAGTTTCGGACTTTGGATCAGGTCCATTCAAATTTAAACAAAAGCTAACCCTAAATCCATGAAGTGGGCAGGAATTACTATCCTCTCTTTGACGAGGTCTGGTTGTCTTTCAAATGAGAGATGCTAACAAGGTTGCCCATAACTTTGCTAGATTTGCATTACATAAATTTGTTCCTATTGTTTGGCCTATGGATCCATATCTCTCCTCTTTTAAAGGATCTCTCTTGTTTCAATATCTTTAAATATATATATTTTTTTCCTTCATGACCTTTAATTATTGTTGATGAATGGATTTTGGCTTAGGCCTAAAAGGGCGTGGTTCAGCCCAGGGTCAGAATTTTTAAGCCTAAAGTATAGTTGAGGTGGTTGTCAGTTCAGAATTGATGTCAAGGTGGGCATTGATGTACAGTGGGGTTTTTTGACATTTTGAATATTTATAGCTCTGTAGTGGAATTCAGAAATCTGCATTGGATATATCTGTATTTTTTCGTAAAAAAACTACCCTTATATTATTTTATTAAACCATTTTCCTTTTTAACTTAATTTTTCTAAAATCTTAATTCTAACATATTTTTCTCAATTCTCTTTTTTTTATTGAATAAAGTTCATCTTGAAAACGCCTTAAGAACGATGGGCTCATCAATGATGTGAAAATAATTTGTTCTTTAGGATGGACAATTAAGTATTTTTACTTTTACCGTCAACCCCATTAACCAAAGGATGGAACAAAGTAGTAGAAAGCTAGAAATTCGGGGTACTTTTTGTTACAAAATAACATCAGGGGGTTAAGCACTACCAAACGTTAATGGGTGACCGAAGAAATTGGGATTTTGATATTTTGGTGGGTCTCATCCCCCCCTTCTCTCTCTCTCTCTCTCTCCGCGCTTTCTCAGTCTATTTTATATTAATGATCTGATTTTTTATCTAATTCCAGCTACTTTTGTGTTTTTTAACGGATATAAATAACGGCATATTCGGCAATTCGTCTCTCCGAGCTGACGACTCTCATTGGCAGAGACACAGAGAGAGAGAGAGAGAAAAGCTCTGAAATTCTACTAAACTGGATTGTATCTCCACACGGATTTCCAATTGTTTTGAAGATCCGGTGCCTTTTTGCCGCAAAGAACTCGCCATTCCGGCGGGAAAATCTGTTTTTTCTTGTTTCAGGCGAAGTGGTTAACTGACGTAGATATTGAGCTTTCGTCTTCTCAGTTTTCCGGAGTTTTTAGGGTTCATCTGGAGTTCGATTTTGACTAAAAATTTGGGGATTTTTGAAGGGAATCTGCCAATCTGGTGTTTGAATCCCGGGAGGAATGGTGGTGAAGATGATGAAATGGCGGCCATGGCCGCCTCTGTTGTCGAAGAAATTCGAGGTGAAGCTGGTTTTGCGAAGGATGGAGGGGTTTCAGGTTGGGACGGATGAGGGGGAGAAGTCAGGGGAGACTCGGAGATTAATGGTGGAGATCAGATGGAAGGGTCCGAAGGTCGCTTTGAGTTCTTTGAGACGGACGCTGAAAAGGAACTTTACTAAGGAGGAGGAAGCGAAGAGCGATGGGGTTGTTGAGTGGAACGAGGAGTTTCAGAGTGTATGCAGTCTTTCAACTTACAAGAACAATGTGTTTCATCCATGGGAGATCGCATTTACGGTCTTCAATGTGAGTTTGGTTTCATTGCTTTTGGTTCTTTTGAGGCTCATCCTTCTCTTTTTACGATTTTTCGGTGATCGTTAGGGATTTCGGTTTGACGAAGACTTGGAGTGAAGGAACTCCTGTTCTATCAGTCTCTGTTTTTCCCCTTCTCTATTCTTTTTTTCTTTTAGTCCCTTTTCCATATTTTTGTGGGGTTTCAATGAACAAGATTAACGTTTGTTGTTCAATCTTATTTTGCCTTTGATCAAGTTGTTCTTTTTTCCAGTTTTTCGATCTCTCCATCTTCTTTGGATTTCATTAGAGAATATTAGGTTTTAATGGTCATTTGCATCTTCTCCAGTGTTTTTCGGATCAAGTATACCTTCTGTTGTGACAAACATACCAATTTTGACAATATTTTGTAGGGTTATTTCATATGAGAGTTATTTTTTTCTTTTTCTTATTTTTTTAGCTTCTTCCTCTCAAATTAATGAATTTATTGATTTTTCCATTGAATTTTTTGAAGGTTATTTTTCCATTGAAATGGAAGTTTATATTTATAAGATAAATTAATCTTCTGAGCTTTTATCTAGGATTCGTCTCTTTTCTTTTTTCTTAATCCTAGAAATTCGGTAATTTTGTTTTACCCAATTGGAGTGGGACGTCGTTAGTGTTTTATATAGATTTTAATTGGAATTTCTGATTATGTTTATGGCACCTATATTCCTGATTTTGTGTTTTTAGTAACTGGAATTTCATATTGCATTAGTCACATTTATATCCAATTTCTGGATTTTGTTCTGTCCTTCTATGCTATTCTAGGCTTCTGTTCGATGTGTTGCAGTTTCTATGGTTTTGGTTGAGTATGCGGCTTTACTGTACTTTTTGGATATAAGAATCTTCCTTTTTTGCTAGGTATTTGAGGTCACCATTGTTGGGATTTGTGGTGAATATGTTTCATGATTGGCAGAAAATGGATTAATGAAATAAATTGTTTTTCTTTTCTGCGTTTGGTATTTGGGATGGTTGGAATATTGCTGATATCTTCTATTTGGTTGTCCCCTGGAATCTTACCAACTTGGCTACCTAGACCGGTGAAGCATATTACTGGAAAATTTTCTGATTCGGTGTACTTAAATGTCATGTAGTATTCATTGCTATCAAAGATTAAGCATTGTGTTATTTGTCGAAAAGGGGAGCTTGCAACTGCTTTAATCTCTTGGCAATAAAATATATTCATTTATCAATAAAAAAGGGAAAGAAGTAAAAGAGAGAATATTGCTAAACAAAAAAGAAAGAATAAAGAAAAGAAAATTCATTTTGCGTGACTTCATTTGGATTTAATTAGATTATCTTGGTTTTGGGGATTTTGAAAATTTTCCCCCTTATTTTTTATCATTAAATATGTACATCTTTGAACCCGTAACATGCTTAAAGATAACTTTTGTAGAAGTTTTTTTTTTCTTTTTTTTTTATAATTGATAACTTTTGTAGAAGTTGATGTTTAATGTTGTCAAAAGTTTTATTTCCTTCTTGATGACTACACCATCTGATCCTTCTATTCATGGGGCTGCAAACTTCCATCTAAGCACTAAGCGTGTGTTGTTTTGAGATGGAAGGGGCTCAATTTAGAAGTTCAGTTTCTTTTTTTTTTTTGAGGTTTTTCATTTTGTTTACTTAACCTTCTTACTTTTATTGGTGCCCCAAGACTTTGAGTTGCTTTTTTCCTTTTTTTTTTATTTTAACCATGAAAACTAGGAGCATTACTAGCAGTTGGTATGTTTTATGTTTTCGATGCTACATTGATTTTGAAAGAAAAGATTTCTGTATGCAACTTTGAGCTTCTGGTACCGTGTTAACTTCTGCATGTTTGATTTCAATATGGTAAATATTTTCTTTTTTTATTTTTTCTTTTTAATGTAACTGATTGGTTCTTTATTCAGGTTTTGAAATCAGGACCAAAGAATAAGGTTCCAGTTGTTGGTACAGCATTATTAAGCATTGCAGAATTTGCTTCTACAGCTGAAGAGAAAGAGCTTGAAATAAATGTCCCTCTCATTCTGCTTAGTGGCAATGTTGATCCTCAGCCCTCTCTTTGTGTACGTGCTTTTGATTATATCTATTTCTTTCCAATTGCCAGTTATATCTCATTTTTCTAGACCTTCCATTTTTCTTTTATATTTATAGATTTGTTTTTATCACAGTTATCTCTCAGGTTATTGGAATTGAGAACCACCCAAGAGCATGCAGAGACAGTACCAAGATCGATAGTTCCGGTTCCATTGTCACCTCAGTCTGGAGAATCTATCTCAGCAGAGAGGGATGATTTTTCCGCTCTCAAAGCAGGTCTAAGAAAAGTAAAAATATTCACAGAGTATGTATCGACTCAAAGATCTAAGAAGGCATTCCATGAGGAAGAGGGGAGTGAGGGCAGGTGCTCTGCAAGGAGTGACAATGCTGATTGTATATACCCATTTGACACAGACTCCCTTGATGATTTTGATGATGGAGAATTGGAGGATGGGAAGGGAGATTCTAGTTTTAGGAAGTCATTCAATTATGGTACCTTGGCATATGCAAACAGCACTGAGAGATCATTTTACTCTGACAAGAGGATCAGTGAGGATTATGAGGATTGGATTTACTACAGCAACCGCAAATCAGATGTGAGCTGCTTGCATGTCAAGGATTCAGTGGCATCAATCTCTGATCAAGCTAGTTCAAAGCGAAGCATCCTGCCTTGGAGGAAGAGGAAGTTAAGTTTCAGATCTCCTAAATCTAAAGGGGAACCACTGTTAAAGAAAGCCTATGCAGAAGAGGGTGGAGATGACATTGATTATGATCGCCGGCAGCTTAGCTCCTCAGATGAATCCTTTTCTCTAGGGGTATGCTTCCACTCTTTCCTGAATTTACCTTTTCTTTATTAGTTCCTAACCTAAAAGGCCAAAAACTTTTGGTGGAAGTCTGAATGGCATTTTGATGGTTTTCTCACTTGATTTCCATAGGCTCCAATTATTGTTGTCAAAGTAGCTTTGTTGAATTTGGAAATCATTGTATCAGCCCCAAGTGGTAGAGTGAAACAACTGGTTAATGACCCCAAAGAAATACTCATCAAGTAGGGACATCAGAATTAATGATGATTTCAGCTTTCTTTCAAGTTGAAATAACTCATTAAAAATTACTGAACATTCAAAATGATCAAAAGAATTTACCTAACACTCAAAACATTCTGGCTTTGCAAAACAAAAAAGCACAAAACACTTACTGAAAATTCATTACAAATTTTTTATTCCCCAAACTTGTTTTATGACCTAAGATTATGCTAAGTTTGAATCCTAAGAGTGTCAATCTTTTGACAGTGGCACAAGGCTGATGAAGATTCAAGTGCAAATCGATCATCAATGTCCGAATTTGGAGATGACAATTTTGCCGTAGGCAACTGGGAGCAAAAGGAGATTATAAGCCGTGATGGACACATGAAGCTCCAAACTCAAGTCTTTTTTGCTTCCATCGATCAACGTAGTGAGCGGGCTGCTGGGGAAAGTGCATGCACTGCCCTGGTTGCTGTAATTGCTGATTGGTTCCAGACCAACCGTGATGCAATGCCCATCAAGTCCGAGTTTGACAGCTTGATCAGGGAAGGCTCCCTAGAGTGGAGAAACCTCTGTGAGAATCAGATGTACAGGGAGCGTTTCCCAAACAAGCACTTTGACCTTGAGACAATCCTCCAGGCCAAGATCCGCCCCCTTTCTGTTGTCCCTAGGAAGTCATTCATTGGGTTCTTTCGTCCAGATGCGATAGATGAGGAGGGTTTTGACTTTTTACATGGTGCCATGTCCTTTGATAACATCTGGGATGAGATCAGTCATGCAGGGATGGAGTGCCCCAATAATGGTGACCTCCAGATCTACATTATCAGCTGGAATGACCATTTTTTTGTCCTCAAGGTTGAACCAGAAGCATACTATATCATTGACACGTTAGGGGAAAGGCTGTTTGAAGGCTGTAACCAGGCTTACATCCTTCAATTTGACAAGCATACAACAATCCGAAAAATGCCTAGTGAAGCACAGACGTCAGAGGAAAAAGCTGCTGGTGATCAGCAGAGAGTGCCTGCTGCAGGGGAATCCAGAACACAGCAGAACAATCATAAGGAAGCTCCAGCAGCAGGGCCTCCAGTACCAACAAAGCCAGATGAATCTGGAAAGACTGAGGCTGAAGAGGAAGTTATGTGTAGAGGGAAGGAGTCATGCAAAGAGTACATCAAAAACTTCTTGGCGGCGATTCCCATAAGGGAATTGCAGGCAGATATCAAGAAGGGGTTGATGGCATCTACTCCTCTTCATCATCGGCTTCAAATTGAATTCCACTACACAGAGTTACAACAGCCAGAGCCCGAACCTCCGGCAGAAGCAACATCAGTGGCACAGATGGTGGTGGCAGTGACAGAGGTAGCCTGCTGAGATAGTTGTGTAAATTGTGGGTTGTGATTATCCTAAAATTTTCCATTCTTCTTTTGGTGATACCCGATGTTGAATGGGTCAAGAAAAGATGATCCCATTTTAAGTTTTGAGTGCTCTTTTTCATCTGCAGAGTGCTGTTCTTCTCTACATTGAGCAGGGAAGCAAATAAGGACATCTCTGTTAGATGTGTTTTGTGTGTGCATAAGAGACTGTTACTATATTTTTCACGTCTCTTGTGGTTTAAAAAAATGGGTTGGACTGGCGGATCATGTACATGGACAGTCTAGTTGTGTCTATAACTTCCTTTTGAGTCTCCAAAACTACAGTTGTAACTTCTAATATCTATAGAACTCTTTCAAGAATTTCATGAGATATTTAGTTCTTCTTCCAACAAATCCACAAAAAGAACATCCACTGGTAGGGGGTATCAAGTGATGGGTTTTGGACCGGGTCCATATATCCAACCGGGCTGTATCCTGTATGATATAATAATATGCGTTGGAAATTGGGTATGTAGAAATGGGAAAAATCTATGTAAAGGGGCTAGTGTGGGTCGGGTACCCATTTCCACTCCTGCATACGTCACAACTCACATGATCCAGATTGGTTTGGAACCCAAGTGCGATGTTTTTATGGATCTTTTCCTGTCAGTACTTCAAAAGAAGAGAAACCAACAAAAATAGCCGTGGTTTCTTGTTCTTGTTGCAGAGATGAGACACGTGGCAAGTGAGGGGTAAAAGGAACCCTAAACCCTAGAAGCCGAATTTAATATAGGAGAGAGCGGCAGCAGCTACTACCAAATGTGCACGTGAGCGATGAGCCAGTGCTATGCTGGATCTGATCACTTTGGCAAGAAACAAGGAAACAAGGCGACCTCTCTGCTACACTATCACTCTGCAAATTCTAGGGTTGTGGCATGTGAGGGGAACTTTGTGCTTTCCTTTTCTTGGTCTATTTGGCTTAGAGCACAGCCAAGGGAGAAAGAAGCTATTGTGGAGTACTATAAATTCCTCTCTTTGTGGTTGTAAAGATGTGAGTTTGGGAAGTAAGGAAAAGATTCTTTGATTTGTTTTGATCCTCACCTTTCTGGGAAAGCTGAAAGCTCTGCCAAGTTCATCCTTTCCTTCACCCTGTTATCATATGTAAAACAATTGTTCCGATCCTCTTCCATCTCAGTAACAGACAAATAAGAAGCTCTAAGTTGGAATCTGGGCTTGAGCTGGAATCCTCAATGCACAGTCCTCTTTTTACAGGTGGCAGCCAAGGTTTTAAGTTTCAGAGATTTCAGCTGTTATGGGATTCCTGGGGACCATTTGGTAACAGATGAAGTGGCTGAAAATTGAACTGAATGACTTGCTGCTTTGTCATTTAGTAAAATAAATTATCACTGAGGTTTTAAAGTCCTTGATATTTTTTATTTAATTATTTTATCCAAAACAAAAAACAATAAGCCATTCAGTTCAACCGTTTTCAATTGACCCCAATTTTAGGTAAAATACTTTCAATAAATATTAATTGCTTTATTACTGGAAAAAATATACAACCAATCAACCAGTATAAAAAAAGTGAAAACAAATCAGATGGGTTATTATCATAATTCATGGGAGATTGTAATTGGTCAAAGCCTTATTAATATCATATCTTCTTTCCGCGGCATCATAAATTTTCCCCAATATTTTACATAAATAATTTTAGAAGAAAGAAGTGATTATTGAAATTTTAACTGAAACAAATCCACCCATTATTTCTCATATTTCCATGGCTGTAAATTTAAAACCATGATGACAGAACAAAATGGGTTCACATGGTTTTCCAATGATGATGCCTTTTTCATGTCATGTGGCAACCACCCATGATCCACCAAGGATGTGACAAAAGGAATAAAATTTTTCACTTATTTTATTAAAAAAAAATTCAATGAAATTGATGGGTTATTGTTCAATTGGAAAGAATGTGAGGTGGGCATCCCTAATCTTGGCCATCCCAATTCAAACGAACGGTCTGGATCTTCCATGTCATTCATATTCCCTTCTATCGTACGGTACTAGTTGCATCAAAACACAACCATACACTCAAACAGAAACAGTAGCTGTCTCGGAAATGACTTGGAATCCAAGTGAGCTATGACAGGCAGAGGGGCACTAGTCCCTATTTAAAAAGCAAAAAACCATTTACTGATCAAAGAATCTATGGGCCTCTAGAATGGTTGCAGTACAGATTACAGAACAGTCTAAGTCAAGCTCACGAGAAAGGATACTGTGGCACTGCAATTTTGCAACGAGAATGGGGCATCAACCATCACGAGAGAGAAGCTTCCTTCCTTTCTCTATCAGCTCAGCTCTCAATATCATCAAATGCTTTCGTGCTCACGGGAGAAGATACTGGCATTGCAACGGTAATGGTGATGGACTCCCACCATCACCAAAGAAGCTCCCTTCCTTCTCCTAGCGGTTCAGCTCACATGCTTCTTATTCTTAATCCAGACCATTTGAGCAAATGGATTGTTGGGTAGCCTTAATAAAGATCAACTCATCTGATGAAATCAACAATTTGAGCAAATGGTAGGATGATTGGAGAGTTAGTTCAGTTAACACCAGTAGGAATCCTCCATAGTCCACATCAGTCCAGCAAATGTGGGGTTCTTTTCCCTGCTTTCCCTACTGATAGCTATTTATCTTGGAAAAGTTACCAACACTTTGATGGGACAAAATAGCTCATTTGATAATGCCTTTTTATGGCTAAAATGGTCATTTTATTATTTACTAGGAAACTAAAAGAACATGGGTAAATGCACTTATCAGGTAAGTATTTCCTAAGAAACACTTATCCAGGTAACATTTATCTAGATAAATAACTTCTCGAAAAACAGAGGGGCCTAAATACATAGAAGTGATGTTACATTGCAGAGAATCAAGGTTCAAAATTTTGTCATGTATCAGTCAATACGTACAGTATCTTGGGGTTTCTAGCACAGGGAACGTATCGCATCAATGCCATATCGGTACCATATCGATGAGTTTCGGTCGTGTTGGCCAATATGCTATTGATACACAATGACTTTATTGTTATGGAAACGCAAATAGAAGTGGTTTTGAAATAGAGCTTCTAAACTCATTTCCAAAGCCCTATTTCTTCCCCAAACCCTCCAGAAAGCTTCTTAACCTTCCTAGAGACTCAGATCTTGCAAAAAATCTGCTAAAACATCTATAAATTTGCAAGATTCAACAAGTTTTTCAAAGTTCTGAAAAATGGAGCGAAAATAAATATGTTTTTGCAATTTTTTTTTACATTTTTAGCCAATGTTTTTGGGGTTTTTTTTTTTAGTTTAGATGCTTAAAAACATCTTTATGTATGTTGGTATGCTATTCTTGTGCAAAAAATCTTACTTATTTTGCTGCTATATGTAGATTTTTGTGAATATTTTAAGAAATTCCAGAATAGTAAAAATCTGAAAAATGAAAATTTTAGGTTTTTCTTGTGATCTACCTCTTAAAATTGATTACATTGTAGATCTATAGATAATCTACCATGTCTATAGATCAATTGAAATTTCTTCTAAATAATTGACTTTTTTAATTTTTGGAATTATATATATACATATGTATGTATGTATATGTATATATAATTTCTTCAATTTTATGCGATCTAACCCTATAGCTTGTGTATGTTGTAGAACTAAGACAAATCTAGAATGGTCCATAATTCCATACATCAATATATTCAAATATTATATGAAAATTTTAGTTTATTTTTCCTTTTTAGCTTATAAATATTTATTTATTTCTCTAATTTTTTGCTATGATTTAAATTGTAATAAAAAGTATTTACAATAAACATATGGATGATCTATTATGTCCATAAACCCATTCAATTTTTTTGTTACATATTTACTTTTTAATTTTTGGAATAAAACATGCAAAATAATTATTTAATCTATTATGTCCATAAATCCATTCAATTTTTCTTTTACACATTTACTTTTCTTAATTTTTAGAATAAAACATGCAATATAATTACTTGAATAAAAATAAATAATTATTTACCTTTTAAAGAATTAGAATGAAACATACAAAATACTTATTTGACCTATTATGTCCATAAATCGATTCAACTTTTTTGTTACATATTTACTTTTCTTAATTTTAATTTAATTTTTATAATAAAACATACAAAATAATTATTTGAATAAAAATAAATAATTTAGTTTTTATAAAATTAGAATGAAACTTGGAAGATTGGAACTAAATTAAGTACTTTATTAGATGGTATGCTTTTGTCCCCTATATTGATTATAATATTTTTTTCATAAAACCCACTAAAGTGTGTTATTTTTATGCATAAATAGCTCATTTATGTCTTATATTTAGTGATACTAATGTTTATTTATGATTTATTTGGGTATTTATAACATTTTCATACTTATCTTAATTTTTCATCTGTATCTAAGACGTATCACAATACATCTCTTAAATTTGCCTTTCCAATGTGCATAGTGTTTCGGATAGTTTAAACTTGAAGACAATACTATTTACTTCCTCTCATCCCCATGAATGAGGAGAATTGCATAGTCACTTCTGGTAAGGCTGTCATTTGGGGTACACTCTTCATTTCTTTAAAGGGACCCTTCTTCCAATTGTCTGACATAAGATCAGATCTTCCTTTGTTTTGTTATTAATATCTCAATTTTCTAGGAAACGGATTCAGGTAACAATCATCAATTTGCGATGCCTGCCTTCACTGCACGGTTTCAAAAAATAAAAAGAAAATATTCCGAATAGGAGAGGAAGCCCAAACCATGAACCAATGATACAAGGGAGTAATCAGATTTATATCTCTCTCCCCTTTTGAGAAAGCCCATTTTTCAATTTCCTCAATGTAGTTGTATTTTGTAAATGGACTGGACCTGCTATATGGGCTTTAAGGCCCAACCTGCATTTCAAGGCACCTTGGGCTGTAGTTTTTTGCATTTGCAAATACTGTCGCTAATGCTATGTTTAGAATGATAGAAAATAAGAGAAACACAAAATTGAGGGAAGAAGTTATTCATCTCTATAAAACCAAATACAGCAATTTCATACACCCTGCATTTTCAGAAAAGTTCCAACTTCCAATAGCCTACCCTATTTCTGAAAAATCTTCTTGACCTCCCCCACTCATCCTGACTTTTGAGTCCGTGATCTCATGAACAGAATGTGAAATGGAATTAATGTCCTGATGTCCAAACTGGCTAGAAAAATGAGATAATCAAAAATATATTTCACCAAAGAAAATTATAAAATAAAAAAAAAAATACCAAATTGAATTGGTCTTTCACTGTTGGAGTGAGAAGCCATGAGTGATCCCATAACACTGATGAAAAACTACATCAGCATTCACGATTGAAGCTAAGAAAATCTCCATTGCCTGTATCCCAAGGGTGGTTTTGGATTTTTGAAATATTTTAAAAATAATACGATTAAGTGTTGGCTTCATTGATGGACTCATGGACTCCTGACAGAAGGGATGTGAGTGATAATAAAAAGTGTTCCAACATTTGGGATAAGAAAAATTTTCCAGAAATAGAGGAGGGCAGTTAGCTTTTGTGAAAGGAGAGGAAGTTTTGGGGCAACTTGTGCAGTAGTCAATGCAACACTTGGGCACCCACCTAGTCACCCACCTAGGTGACAAGGCGCCCATAGAGGATCACCTCACTTAATCCCCAAAATACTTTTAAAATGGTCCTGTTGTATATTTTTATCTTAACCTTTTGAAATTATAATAATAAAACAGACATTATTAAACTAATCAGTTTGTGAGTTAAATTACTAGCTTCTTTCTATTGTTTATTTATTTGTTAGGGTTCAATCTACATGTATGCTGTCTTGAACCCTCAAAGACTTCAAAATCTGAACTGGTAATCAAGGAAGAATTCAAAATTTTGTCAAATCAATACATTGATTCTTATTTTCTTCTTTTCTTCCATCCTTTCTTCTTTTCCCAGGACAAAATTAGGTGTTCAGCCTCTCTATTTTCTGAAGTTTCTTTTCTACTAGTTAATGATAGTTGATGTTTGCTATGGAACCTAGAGAATTACCCTAGAATTCATGGTTTTTATTCAAAACAATCCATCACCTAGGTGACTAGGCAACAAATCACCCCCACCCCAGATACCTAATCTCGCCTTGGCACCTTGAAAACTATGCCACAGTCCAATGCTTGTGTATGAGTCTCACGGTTTGCAAGTTGAGGTTTAAAAATTGGTGTAAAACCAAAAGAAGAGCATGAAAATATAGTATACGATATATGTAATATCACTTGAACTGAATAAAAATGGTGATGATGAATCATTTTCCTTTTTTTCCCAGGGAAACAACACTCAGGTGTAACCAGGCATGTTAAGTACTTGCTTGCAGGAAATTTCCACCAACATAATGATAGGCACATCCTGAAGAAGATATGGAGCAAACAATAACCAAATACCTCAATGATTTTCAGATGAACAGATCTGAGAGACAAGCTCGACCACTCCCCACATGGGTGCATCATTCTGGAAGAAACAGTATTGCAAGTCAGCATTATCAGAATAAATAGCTGTAGATAAATCAAGATATTTTATTGAGCTATTAGCACACTTAAATCTACCATACCACAACCAAGAGATTGCACATGAAACAAAACTCAGAAAGCACCTCATCCTCACAAAAGAGACGGTTGCAGTAGTACTAAAGAATCCAGATTGTCAGCCCTTTATATTTGGTGTACAGCAATGGTCTAAAGTTGACCATACTGTCAAATGACAAGACCTTCTGGTAAAAAAGGCCTTTCTCATTCAAATGCCTACTTATAAAATCTATTGGAGGGATGAGCATCTAAAAAAATGTAGAAAAGTGTTATCTCCTTGCTTTTTTAGTAGGGTCCCAAATAGTTGTTTTGGGTAGTTTTCATGGTTAATTTGGTCTTGGGGCGTTTTCATTATTTCATAATTTGGGTTCTAGTCAAGCATAATCAAGTGTTGGTCCTTTGGACATTTTTGTAACTAAAGTTGCTCCTTTAGAGGGTGTTTGAAGTTACTTTTATTCTTCAGCAGTTACTTGAAGAGGGGTCATTGTAGGGGCTTATGTGTAAATATTTTGTGTGGATTCTCCAGCAAGCCATTGGATTTCATAAAAGAGAAAAGAGTTGTTTCTAGATGGGGATTTCTTTTTGATTGAGTTGCTGCTCAACCCCAACTTGGGTTTTCAAGTATTGGAAGCTTGGGTTTGTAGGAGACAACCCCTTGGGTACCATCCAATCCCTCTATCACTGCATATCCACATGAGAGGACAGCTTGATACCATAGTTACTATAGCAAATAAGTCCTAAAGGAGTTCATCAGGTTCTTTTCAGAGATCTGTGGCATCTAGTCTATTTTTAGCTCTGCTACTTCTTGACTTCTGTTAATAGTTTTTGATGGGGTCATAACTCACCCTGGCTGAACCACCACATGGATGACATGTGGCTGACATGTGGCTGAACAGTGGACTGTGACAAACCGTAAGCTCGGTTGACGTAGAGAACAACAACGTGGCATGCCCTCACTTGCTGCAAGGGGTGGAGTGCACCCTTGGACGAGGGCAAGCTTGGGACACTTGTGTCCCTCAAGCAAGGAGCCCAACAGCACTCCAAAACAGGTATTTAAGGGCACACCGCCCAAGGTACTTCTCTTCTTTCACATTCTCCCACTCTAGCTCTCCTACTTCTGTCACTGAGAGCCTTTGTTCTTGCCCTAGATCAAGTACGATTTGTATTCTGGTAACTGCATCAAATTTTGGGAACAAATTTGGGTTGGGGACTCCCCTTTGAAAGACCAATTTCCCTTTTTGTTTGTGATAAAACTCAGATCTGAACCCAAATTAGTTTGTTAATAATAGTGAAGAAAGATAGAAGAGAAAAGAGGGAAGAGGGAAGAAGAGAAGAGAAGAAAGAGAAAAAGACCAGTTCGAACTAGAGAGAAAAAATCACTCTCTAGTCGGCCAGATTTATATTTATAGTTTTCTATAATAAACAGAATGACTGCTATGCCCCTACTTAAATATGGGACACATAACTCAACTTAAACATTACACCTCACACAAAACATAAATGAAAAGACCAAACTGCCCCTATACAGTCGACACTAACACTCCCCCTCAAGCTGGTGAGTATATGTCATATAGTCCTACCTTGTTACATATGTAGTCCACTCTTCCCCGACTCAACCCTTTGGTGAACAAGTCTGCCCTTTGACTTCCAGTGTGAACATAAGCAGTACTTATCACTCCACTAAGTACCTTCTCTCTCACAAAGTGACAATCAACTTCTATATGGTTTGTCCTCTCATGAAAAACTGGATTAGAAGAGATGTAGACTGCAGCTTGGTTGTCACAATAAAGCTTCATAGGGGTGTCAATTGAGTACCCCATCTCCTGTAAAAGGTACTATAAAGTATAAACAGTTCAGGCTAACCCAGAATTTCTTGGTTCGTCTTTTGCCCTAGATCTCTGCAGAGATCTCATCAATCCCTAGGAGTTTCAGAAAAAGGCTGAAAAGGAGTTTTCATTTTTCCCTTTTGGAGGTCTTCATGCCTCCAGTTGGTTGTGTGGTGCTCATTTCATGTGATTTGTAGAAACCCTCTAATCGATGGATCGAAGAGAGTTGTTTCAAGTGGTGTGGTGATCAGATCAGTACAGTGCTGATTTATGAAGTTCAAACTGAAGGGATGAGATATCCATCGTTTGGATGCCCGAATCTTGCGGAATAGAATGGGCGAATTTCAAAAATTTTTCCCATTCCCCCTGGGAATCGTATTCCCTATTTTAGAAAAATCATATTTTTCAATGATCAATCTTGAACCAAGAACCGAACCAGATCTGAACAAAAGCAGTGGGAGAAAGATATACCTGATATAGAGAAATAATATCTCCCAATGGAGGTGTTCACGCCCAAGGAAGGAACCAAAAACTGCTCCCACTGAAGATGGCGCAGTGTAGGATGGAGCAGAATCAGCAGCGTTCTTCAAAAGAACCAGATCCTTCGCAAGAGTCAGCTGGATGGTACGTGAGCACTACTTCCAAT